TTTTTTTTTTTTTTTTTTAATCAGAATTGATCAGTACTTGGTTGCAAATGCATGAAACCAGTGACTGATCTTCTACTAGAATAACTCAGGCCTGCTCAGGTTCTGCTCGTGCGCCAAATGACCAAATCAAAATCAACACAACTTGTTTTGCAATGCAAGGACATTAATTGATTGATCACCCAATGTCTTTTTTGAACTGAATTGTTAAGCCAATGTCAAAACCATGTAAACTGAATCATGAAACTCAAGATGCATGGGGACTTGTTGACTTGTTGACTTATTGTGCAAGGGCACAACACTAAATGATCTGCATTATTATTATCTCTTATATAAGAGCTTCTCATCATTAGTCTTAGCTCCAATAAAGTTTATCCTCATGAACTAGACTGAAATTATTTCAGAAAATCGACACAACAGAGTGATTTCTCATCCGAGATTATTACAAAGGTCGAGCTTATGCATCCTGGTTCATCTTCTTGGGTGCAACAGCTGCAATGGCAGTCCCCAGAGGCCATGCTGACTCAACATAGAACTCTCCATACTTCACTCTAGACACCAAAGTAATCTCCTTTGTTGGAGCCAAACCTGTATAAAACATGTTTTGTTATTAGTTAGTTTGTTCAGACACCTGAATATCGATCATCCGACAAGGAGACTTTCTTGATATCTAGACATGCATTTTATCTGGACTTACCGAAGCCATCCACAAGCAATGTGTACTGGTAGATGAGATCCATGCATATGTATGGCACATCATAGAGATCAAGGTACCCTGCTTTGGCTTCATCAGCGCTCAGTGAACAAACTTTCTCTGCAGCAGCTTTGAATGCCAATGGGGTGGACTTCACGCTGGGTGCCTCACTGTCAATGAAGCCAACCTGCCAATTAAGTGATTCATGTGAATCATTGGATGATGCTCAAACTCCATTTTTCAACTTATCTGGTAATTGTGCAGGTTTATATATATATACATGATCAGGAGTTGCTACCTGTGAAGCCTTGTCAAAGAAGAAAGATGCAACGTAGAGATCGTCCTGGCCAGCTCCACCGCCTCCATTCCAGACGCCATTAAAGGTGCAGTTCCTTGCATTACATGGTGCACTCATGTTTAGTGCCTTTATTATCTCTTCTCTGCACTTATCATACACTGCGCCTTCAGGTGACGCTGTTGCGTCATAGTCCTTCCCATTGTAACTGTATATACCTTAATGAAGGACATGATAGCAATTCAGGGCTGAAAATTTGTGTGCTAGTTACTGGAAATACGATGAATTGATTAGCAAGAAGGAGGTTGATTGCGCATGTATGCCAGTATACCACTGAACCCACGCAATACGCAGTGGCTAAATGGCCCATTCTTTGCCTTCAGGATCTCTACTCGAACAGCAGACATGCCATAGTACAAATAGCTGCAGAGGTAAACAAGGAAGATTGCTTGCATTAGTCACAAAGCAGAACATATATGATTATTTAGATTCTGAAAGCTTTCATGATGACAGTGATATTTTTAACCGAATCATCATAGTTTAATGATTATTAATGTATGAAAAAAAAAACTGCAAACACACACTAAACGATGACAATGTAGTAAGCGTTAGTTTATTCTTTACAACCAAAGACAAAAGTTATTGAAATGTAAGTTAAAGTTTAAACATAATGTTTGCTAAACCTGTGAACATAGAGATTATAATCTTTTCCCTTGAGGTACTCCTTTGTAATATATGGATCCTTCCCATCAGGTACAGCTGGGGCATTTGCAGCAGCATTCGCGGAAATGGCATATGACATTTGTACTGATCCACCCCCCAAATCGATCACACCAACCGTCTTCGAGTAGTCCCCTCCCAACTTACCTAGCAGATAATTCAGAGTAACCTACAACACATACATGTGCCATATGCATCATATACTTTACAAACTGAGTACACGAGATACAATTATGCATTTTCTATACTATTATAAAAGAGCCAATGAATCTGTAAAAATATGATATGCCTACAATA